AAAAAGGAAAATCTTTGAGTTTGGTTGTTAGATTCTAGAGGTTACATCCCCAAACTTTGGGCCCAAAAAATACTTCTATAGGTTTCACCCAACCCAAGGGAGCAAATGAACAATGTGCTCCAATGGGAGCAGCAAATCGTTTTGGCCATTATATCGTGCTTTGTTAATCATGGACGGTGCTATCTTAATGGTCATTTTCATGGGGTTAGCGTTTACAAAGTGATAACCCAATAGCATGTCCGTTAGTTCCCTGGATTTATGTGTAACTCATTAATCCTCTTTTTAAGTTATTTTCCTTTTTAATTTTTTTAGGGAAAAGTTTATATAAGGTTGCAACCTTAAAATGTAGAATTACATATGCGCTTCAAAAATCTATCAAAAAGGTTGTTTTAATGTTGAAAATCCATTTGATCATCTTGACATCGAGATGTATGAATAGAAAAAACAAAATTTTTTTGAATCTCAAAAATAGTGCATCTTGCAACACATTATCTAGGCCGTCCATTTTCAAGATTTTCATATGTTTATAGATCTCATTGATTTTAACTATTTTCGGAGTTTACAATTTTCTAATTAGATATGAAAATAGATTTTAAGATAATCCTAAGAATTTTTTATAACAAAATTACATGTTATGATACAATTTGTTGGTGCACCTTAATTGGATTGTTTAAGGTTGCAACCTTATAGAAGCCGCAACGTTTTTTTTTATGGGCACTGGTTTTTATAAGAATGCAACCTTAAACAATCAAATCAAGGCGCACCTTACAATTTTATCATAAAATGTAATTTTGTTATAAAAAATTCTTAGTAGTATCTTAAAATCTATTTTCATGCCTAATTAGAAAATTTTTCAACTTAAAAAATAGTTAAAATCAAGTAGATCTATAAATATATGAAAATTTTGAAAATGGACAATCTAGATAATGTGTTGCAAGATGCACTATTTTCAGGACTCGAAAACGTTTTTTTTCTTTTCTTGTAATCCATGATCGATTTTTTTGTTTTTTTGTTTTTCTTTTGTAACCCATGATAGAATTTTTTGTAATCCATGATCGAATGTTTTGTAATACATGAACGAAATGTTTGTTTTTTTTTTTGTAATCCATGATCGAAATGTTTGTTTTTTTTTTGTAATCCATGATTGAATTTTTTGTTTTTTGCTTTTTTTGTAACCCAAGATAGAGTTTTTTGTAATCCATGATCGAACTGTTTTTTTCTTTTTTTGTAATCCACGATTGAATTTTTTGTTTTTTTTGTTTGTTTTTTTTGTAATCCATGATCGAATTTTATGTAATCCATGATCGAACTTTATGTAATCCATGATCGAATTTTATGTAATCCATGATAGAATTTTTTGAAAATTTGTGATTTTTTTTTTTTAATCCATGATCGATTTTTTTGAAAATTTGTTATTTTTTTTTTTAATCCATATTATTCAGAGAGAAAATGAGAGAGATGATGATTATGAGGCCACCCTATCCCAGCCATATTATTCACATATCGAGTCCCAACAGCAACAGTGTAAGGATGAGCACAAAATACTATAAATTAAATGCTGAATGGCGGTTCATGCAGTGAAAGAACATATCAATATTCGCATATTCATTCAAAAACATGAAAATTCTTAATGGAGTACCCTCATTTTTTATTGAATTCCTAAAAAACAATATTTATAATGAATTTTAATAATTTTTTCAAATTTTTTTTAAACTTTATTCTGACCAATTCACTCGATTCCCGATCCGAATTGCCGATTCGTTGATTCGGATCAATTTTTTGGAAGCCCGATCCGGATCACCGATCCGTTTTTTAAACCATTGGTTGTAACCTTATATAAACTTTTCCCTTTTTTTTTTATAGGTCAATAGGTAATTCGACGGATGACTTTTTCTCTCGATTAATGTACGGACTGTTGCAAGGCCATACCCAACTAACCTAGCGAAAGGTACTGATTACTGATAACTATATGTTAATTAACTTATTTTATAATTACTAACTATATGTTAATTAACTTATTTTATAATTACTAACTATATGTTAATTAACTTATTTTATAACTAATGGGCAATAAACTCATTTCAGAATGGTACCATAAATGGTTTTTCTATTTTTTTATTTACTTGATACGTTATATGGATCATTATGGATGTAAATAGTGTTTATAACTACAAATGGTTTAACAGTTACGACCCAAGCATTATACCCCATTCTTAGACATTATTTACTTGCATGGTCATGGTAAGGAAATTGCCTTTTGTGTGCTGGGTCTGTCTTCTCCATTGAATTACGTGAAAAAAAAAAAAATACGTTCAGGCCTGATCAATTCTCACCCAGGATAAGAAAGACGATTCACGAGTCGGACTCATCTATAGTGAATGAAACAGAAAAAAAAAAAATGGACAAATTGGGAGACTCAGGTTACTGCAATTCTCTGGAATTTTGGCTGGTTCGATTTCGATTCCTTTTATCTAATTTATATGATTCATGAGTCTGAACAGCCCAAAATTAACAAAGGAAGAAGCTAACATAACCGCTACACTCGGGAAAATTTGAAGTTTTCAGCCCAAAATGGCTAGACTAGCCATTATGATAAGAGATCTTGAGGCAATAGGCACTACAGTCAAATCATACGTTAATTTCCACTCCAATCTCAAATCAAATTGAAAAATTTTTCTTCCCAATATTCATCTTCCCTTAAATTTTTTTGAAGAATATTAATTTCTAATTTTATTAATAATAACTATTTCTAAATTTTTAAAATTACAGAAAATATACCTCTTTGTTTCCTAATTTATACCCTTTCCCGTCCCCATTATGCACCTAAAATGCCTTGCTACAAACATGTTAAACCTGTAGCACTGCAATGCAGTGGAATGCATTGTGGTTCCTGTAGTTCTAACATATACTTAGCAGTTCAGAAGGAACAGGTCTGTAATGGGAGCCGTGAGGTTTGTAACGGTGCCAGGTTCATTTGTAGTGGGGGGTCATGGATTTGTTAGACCTATAGTGCTTTCTAACACTATAGAGGAAGCTGGGTATTTTAAATATATTGAAAAAAAAAAAAAAAAGAAGAAGAAAATAGGTATGCTTATAAATTATAATAAAATAGAAGCATTTTTCTAATTTAAAAAATGTAGAGGCATATTAATGATAATTTTCATGAAGAATATAAGCTTCACTATATTTTATATATTTAGGACCCACGATTCATTTGTAGTGGGGGGACATGGATTTGTTAGACCTATAGTGCTTTCTAACACTATAGTGGAAGCTGGGTATTTTAAATATATCAAAAAAAAAAAAGAAAAAAAAGAAGAAAATAGGTATGCTCATAAATTATAATAAAATAGAAGTATTTTTCTAATTTAAAAAATATAGAGGCATATTAATGATAATTTTCCTGAAAAATATACGTTTCACTATATTTTATATAGTGTTTTAGGACCCCACGATTCCTGATCTGGATCGCTGATCCAAACAAAAAATTCAGCACAACCAAATCAGTTATAATATAGTATGGGTCCTGGACATGTTCCCCCTTTAAAATCTCCGTATTTTTTTTTGTCATTTATTCTTTAAGCTTATCAAATGTTGTATTTGATGCCTGTAATTTTTATTTTATGTCATTTATTTTTAATTTTTTTGAATCAGCGATCCGGACCATCCGAATCATCATCCAGCCAACCCAAGTGGGGATTTACGATAGACGGTCCATCTCACTGGTCCGATTTTTAAAACATTATATTTTTGCTAATGGTGATCCTTAATAAATATGGGTATGTTTGCCACGTAGCAAAAATACAACGGTGAAGAAAAAAAAGAGGGAAAACAGCTCACTGGACCCCAGTGGCCAAAGGAAGCATTTCGGATATTTCAGGCCAAAAATTGAATATTTTGAATCTCATCGACTTCAAATTAACACAGTGTGAAAATATCCCAGTTTAATTTCCAATTAAAGAAAAGAGTTTATAGTCTTCTCCTTTTTCTGCTAAACTATTTTCACCTCATTTTATGCCACGCTCACCCAAAACAAAAGGTCATACCATTTTTTACTACTTCCACCCAATTTTTCCTTTTGTACCTCAAATCATCGTTTGGAAAGTATTTTCAGCAACATAAATCTCTAAGATGGCTCTAAAATTAATTTTCAATGCCGATAATAAATTTTAAAAGGTGCAGTTTGTATAAATTTGAAGCTCTAAACAACAAAAATAAAGTGCATCTTCAAATAATGTCGAGAAATGAGGTTTCAATACTGAAAATCTTTGTGTTTTTTTTTTTAAAAATAAAAATAAAAATCTTAGTGTTTTTTTAAATAAAAAAAATTGAAAATCTTTGTGACAACCTTAAAATATATTTTCATCTTTAATTATAAAATTTAAAACTTCAAAAATAGTGTAGATCGAGTAGATCTATAAAAACTTGAAAATCTTGAAAATTGACAGTCAAAAAATGCATTACAAGATGCACTATCAAAATCTCGAAATCTATTTTTTTCTCATGTCCATGAATCTTGAGGTCGAGGTGATCAATTTGAGGATATTTGGGCATCAAAACAACACCTTCTAGTGAAATTTGAGGTGCGCCCGAATTTGATGGTTTAGAGCTTCATACTTGTGTAAACCTTTTTCTAATTTAAAAATTCAAAAAATAATAGAGATATTGAAGATATGTGAGCACTTATTTTTAACGTAAAAATGAAAAACCTATATAATTTATTACAATAAACACTATTTGTAGCACTTTAGATTCTTTTTTCCTCCCAGCCATAATGCTCAAGTCGAGATGATTTGATATAAATGTTTTACAATACTTGGCTTGCAATTTTCGATGAATTATGAAGTGGGTATTGACTTATTTTGATAAGGCCGCAGCCCCATCAATTATTTTCCTTTTTATATTTTTTCGTTGTTGAATTAGTAGGGGCTTTGGCGGGATGTCGCTTTATTAATCTGTTTAATCAGACTATTACAGAAGGTTACTTATTTCCCGATCTAATCGTAAACCATCTCCATCTCGCTCTTTCTGCTTATTTATTGGTGCAATCTGAAATCATTGTTCCTTCTCTCTCTTCTCTCACACTCTCTCTCTCTCATGGAGTTCACCGTGGAATTTGAGCTCCATTACGGCATATAAGAGCCTATTCAGTTCAGTATAAATGCTTAAGGTTTTCGCATTTCAACAGTAGCAGAGCTTTTGACGCAAGCTTTGGCGCTTTTCCTTCTTCTTCAAGTAACATTGGCCGGAATTAGGTCAGAAATGGGCATCCTTCCTTTACATTAGTGTACTTTTTTTGGCTTTTTTTTTTTTTGAGTGAAAATGCATCTACTTTAGGCATTTGCTTGAATTTTTGAGGAATATGCGGGTATTTTGGTGTTTTGGGAGTGTAATTGGTGGCATTTGTTTTTTCCTGCTTTTTTCCGTTTTTAAATGGCTTATTTTCTGGGGTCTTGGATGGAGTTCGAGGAATTTTCATGGATTCGGTGTTTTTTGGACTGTAGCACTTGCATTTTCCCCTCCTTATGCTTATAGTTCCCAAAGTTGACGTTTGGTTTAAGATTTTGTTTGGAGTTTACTGAGATTTTGGTGTTCTGGATTCTACTCCTTAAGATTTTTAAGGTTTTTCTTTAAAAATGGCATCTAATTTAAGCTTTTTTGTTGAAATTAACAGAATTTACAGAGATCCCAGTATTTTTTTACCTCTATCCCTTTCCTTCTCTTTCATGTCCTTTGAAAATTTTGTTTGAAATTTTGAAATGCAAGGAATCCACACTGGCGTCAGCGTTTTATGGTTGCTGTTCTTGGCATGGTTTCAGTGACATCTGAGTTAAACTTTTGGTTTAAATTTGAGCAATTCACAGGGATCTAGGTGTAATGTCTCACCTTTTTTGTGTCTGCAAAGGACAATATAGAGGTATTTTTAGGTAAAAACTGTCAATTTAAGTTTCTGTTGCAAACAATGGTAAAAGTTAGCAGTACAATCTTCAGTAGCATTTCCTTGTTTCTGAGTTTTTTTCTATCAACGTACAGCATGAACTCATGAATCCCATGTTGAATCAGTGAATTTCTTAGAGATGTTGTAGTAATTGTCTTCTTCAACCGTACTATTCGAACAAAATCTAGGTACATTCTGATTAGTAATGAAAACTTTGGAGATCTTTTCTCAAGAAAGCACACCCTCTGAGATTTTATCCACTTAATTGCTTTATTTTATTTCCCATTTTGATTAGAAGGATTTGCTTATGATTCTAAGTTGTTAAGTGATTGCATTTTTTAATAGCATAGATCTCCACTTGTAGCAATTTCACGTGATGAGGAACAGTAAATACATTCTGGTAGTGATGGGAACTTAGGGGTCTCAACCACAAAAAGTTTGCTGTTTGGTCTTTGAATTGTTTGATCCACTTTGTGTGTGTTTTAATGCTCAAGTGGACTCTGGGATTCATTTCTTTCTAAATCTATTGTTTAGGATGAGGAAAGAGTTGGCAATCCTTATACATTGTCAATTTTAGGGGTTATATCGTTTCATAATTCATAAAGTACTTTGTCAAAACATTTTCTGGAAGAAATTTGCAGCTTTGACCACCTAATTGTAGTGAGCATGTAGTTTTACCATTTGATTGCATGACTCATCTGTACTTTGCTGTTTTCCTAACTTGAATGAAGGAATTATATTCTGACAGGATGAAAATTCAATGATTGGGTGCATAATGCATGCATTTACATCTCTAAACAATTTTAGTGGCTTCATAGTCTTGCTGTGTGTTTCTCAGGCTTTGAAAAACTTCATTTTGGAGCCTAGTTGGAGAACAAAGGGAACTTGTTGAGATTTAGCTATGTGTTCTTGTTCTTATGCATTTCAAACTACATAGCACCTCTACTTTTGTATGCATTAGATATACACAAAGCTTGTTCTAGTAGACATGTCCTTGGTTATCTAATTATATTTTGACCTTTGGGTAACTAAAGTTTGACCTTTCGCTGATTATTGTAAGGAAGTTCAACTGCCAGAGGATCAAAATTTAGATTCTAGTAAATATGGAAACAAGTAGTTTTTTTTTTGTTTTTTTTTTTTTGACAAGGTTAGAAACAACTAGGGTTTTAAGTTGCTGAGCTCTTAGTATCTAATGTTTGAAATGTTCTATAGTGTGCGTTACCGGTTTCATGCTTTCATGCATCTATAATAAATCAATTTCTGAATCAAGCCTCATGAATAGAAAAGATTGTACAACTCTGGATGTCAGTAATTCCTGTGGAACTGTTTCTATATGTTATTTTGGCCGAAATGGAATTTTGAACTCCTGGTCACTGAAAAGAAAGTTATATTTTAAGCTAATCCTTAGCTTTTTTATCAAAAGGAATGAGTGGTTATTTTACTCCAAACACTTGGGTTGAAGGGTTAATGAGATTGGCATTTTTTCCATGGTTTAGGGATGACCTTTAGTGGATGCTGATAAGACTTCAAGTTATGTTGATTGCCAATTCTGAGGCCTGATTTTGACTTGGACAATTTATAGTCTGTTCTAATGTCGAGAATAGGAAAGTGGAAGACTGAAAAGACAAAGGTCAAAGTTGTTTTCCGGTTGCAATTCCATGCCACCCATGTAAGCTTCTTTTGGAACTTGTGCTGCAACTTTTTTGCTCTGTACCATTGGAAGGATGCACAATACTAATGTAACTTCTTGAAAGAGTACAAATTATTTGCTGTATACGAGTAGCTTTGATATCAATGACTCCAAGCTTTTCTGTTGTTTCAGGTTCCTCAACCAGGATGGGACAAGTTGTTTGTGTCTTTTATACCTGCAGAAACCGGAAAAGTAGCGGCAAAGACAACAAAAGTACCTGTTCGTAATGGGAGCTGCAAGTGGTCTGATCCCATTTATGAAACAACTAGGCTTCTTCTGGATAGTAAAACCAGAAAATATGATGAGAAGTTGTATAAGCTTGTGGTAGCCATGGTAAGAATCCTTTCTTTTTTTATCTTTTCATGGAAGTAATTTTCCGTTTTAGTGATTTCAGATCCTTCATCTAAACAATATGAAATATTGTGAAAACATTTGTGCTTAAAGTTCTGCACGAACAATAATTATATAAGTTAATAAACTCTGAAAGGTTTTTAAACTAAATATTCTATTACTGATACAAGTTAATTCAAGTCAGGGTTCTTCTCGATCTAGCATCCTCGGGGAGGCAAATATAAACCTTGCCGACTATGCTGATGCTTCAAAGCCTTCATCTGTTTCACTGCTTCTCCAAGGCTGTGACTGTGGGACTCTTTTGCATGTAAGGAGATCTTGTGTATGCTAAATGTTGATGATCCCGGGATATTGTTGTATTTTTATCTCTGGTATCCTTTTTCCTTTCAGTTGATGACTTATTTTGGCCATTGCAAATAATGAGAGGTTATATGAGACTTAGGTTGTGGTTGAGCAACTTGTTCTACCTTGCAGTATGGTCATATTGGAAATTTGGAATTTCTTAGCTTCTCTGTTTGTCTATTTTCAACTCCTTTCTTTGAACCTGGAGTTCACACTTGTTTGGAAAGATGGATTCTTTGCCAACTGTTATAGTTAACTGTGATATTGATGGCAGGTTACAGTCCAGCTGCTCACCTCTAAAACCGGGTTTAGGTGCTGTTCCATGAACAACATAAATAATAAATTACTATTCTTTTTTCTGATTTTAAGTTTACACCAGTCTCATTCTTAGATGAAACCTTTGCAGAGAATTTGAGCAGCAAAGAGAAACCACTGAGAAGGGCTTTCGGATGCTTACTGGCCAGAATAGTTCTGAAGAGTTTGATGGTAAAGGGTTAGCTCCCGTGGAGATGGACAATGATCAAACAGATAAGGTTTGATTTCTTCTTTTCTCCTTGTTTTCTAATACACTGATGCTGTTACCCAAGATATCTGGTTATAACTCTCCTTCCGTAACATTAATAACTTATTACTGATTTCTTTCTATCTTCCACTGTAACTCATGTGTTGCTTGCTCTATCCGGTAATCGCACTGGATGAGCATACCTGAATTTTATTCTTTGGTTTGTGCCTAGATGAGACTGTTGGATTTGTAAAGAGACACTGTATTGCTATATGAAATGCAAGCTACACAAACTAAAATCCATTCATATTTTTTTTTCTCCTGGGTTTAGCCCGAGGGTGCAATGGAATGAGCATTTCTTTTGTCCTCTTGTTGTAGATACCTGTAAAAAATTTTGATGGGTGACCAATGACCTTTATATTGAGGTGACGAATCTGTTGATGGTCTATTAGTAGTACACGATCAGAATAATTTTGTTTACAATAGTTGTTATCTTTTGCATTTTGGGTATATAAATTCTGAGGAATATGAAGCTATTTTTTTCTGGTAAGTGTTACTAAGGAGACCACAGTTACAAGGCTTTAGATGCTAGAGTTCTTTTCTTTGTGTCAGCTGATTAAGCCTCAGCTGTTATCTTTTGCATTTTGGGTATATAAATTCTGAGGAATATGAAGCTATTTTTTTCTGGTAAGTGTTACTAAGGAGACCACAGTTACTAGGCTTTAGATGCTAGAGTTCTTTTCTTTGTGTCAGCTGATTAAGCCTCAGACATTGAGGTTATAGAGCGTGAATCATGTGCTGGAAACAACAGTTTCAGTTGTTTTTGAGCTATTTCATGCTCTGTTACCTTCTCTTACTATTTTGCCATGGCACAAGGTTCTTCTGTTTGGTTTTGAATCTTGCTGCCCTATATACCATGCAAAACTTGATGAGAGACAACTATGAATGAAATGCCTCATTGGAACCTGGGACGTGATCAGTGTAATGTATACCACGTGTACCATGTCCATCATTGCAAAGAGTAAAGTGCAATGGTTATAAATTTACTTAAGAACCTCCTTAGTTGGGAAAGATGTGGACTCTGTGAAGATTCAATGTTCATTGCAACATCTGCTTTTGTATTATTTGGAACTGAGTCTGACCTCATCTTTGTCATTATGCCGAGAAAGTCTCGACACAATGGTCTTGAAAACGAATCCCATGCCCTAAATGCAGGTAAGTTTTTGGTGAGTCTGCTTACTCATGTGTTCACCTTGGTTTTCAAGGATTGTAGAACCTGAAACACAATCTGAAATCATTTAAATCCGTTTCCACATCAGGTATGAATTTGCAACTCCAAAAAGAGTGCTCATCTTATGATCTTTGACGAATTGAAAATGAATTGTCCAGAAAAATGGGTACAAGATGGACCATGTTTAAGGCTTTTTTTTAGAGTCATGATCATGGTAGCCCTGTAGAGTTTTGGATCCAAAATCCATGCGCAATAGGTGCATCACTAAATGTTCTTAAACATTATCCCTAAATGTATTTTAAGGTTCAGATATTTCCACACAAGCCTATTTATGTTCGACAACATATCTTTTAGAGGATGATATTTCAGTAATTATTTTAAAATAGTTCATTGATATCTTTTGAGATTTTCAAGTCCAAATATAATTTGTGCAAAGAAATTTTCCTGTTCTCTTCTCTGCCTTTGTATGAGAGATTTCGTAAGTTGAAGCATAATTGTATAGGTATAAGCATGCTTATCATGTAATCGTCAACATATGTGTGTCATGTGTTTGTATAAGTATAGTGAGCCCATTGTTAGGTTTCAATTGTTTGTTTCAGAAACTGCGCTCATGTGTCATGATTCTAGTTTCAATATGATCTACTTGTGATATGGAACATGTTGATTCACTTTTGAATTTCTCATATAATTTCCTTGCAAATCAACAGGTGGCCTCGAAAGTTCGGTTCAAGTCAAGCTTCATAGGGCTTCCAGCCCTCAATGAGGGAGCTGAATCAAAAGAAGATTGTACAGATTCAGCAGCAGGGATCGATGGTTCATCATACACTTCTGAAAGTGTATCTGCTGAACCTGAAAAGCAAGAGATCTCTAGTGCTAAAGATAATGATAGCACAATGTCCAGTGAACTTGGAGGTACTCTTAACCAAAGTCCTGATCCTATAAATTCAGACAAAAGTTGTCATCAACAACTTGTAGCACAAGGGAGCAATGATTGGACTCATGGATGGAGTTCAGATTATTCTATGGACAATGATTTAGCTGTTGCTTATGAGGAAAATGGTAGACTGAGGGGGTGTTTGGAAGCTGCCGAGTCATCTATTTTAGAGTTGAAGGCAGAAGTAAGCTTATTAAGAAAGCAAGCAGATGAATTTGGGGAAGAAACTGAATCATTTGCACAACGAATTATTAAGGAGGTTGCATCAGGAGAAGAACTGTCAAAAGAAGTAGCTGCATTAAAATCAGAATGTGTGGAACTCAAGGATGCATTTGAGAAACTCAAAAGTTCCAACGGAAACTTGCATATTATGGACAAGGCCAATGAATCATTTCATAGCAGCTCTAGTGCTGAGAATCTGTCTTCAAATGATGACTGCAAAGTGTTTGAACCCATTTGTTTGGATTCCAAGCTTGAAAAGAGTGCCTATCAAAAAGGCCAAAACAACTTAATTCCTGATTTTGAACTCAATTGGATACAGGGTCTATCACTTTTGCAGGACAAAATAAGTGAAATGAAAGCGAAGACATATTCTTTGAAAAATGAGAAAGACTTGGGGTGTATTCAAATTGACCTAGAGTCTTTGGAGCGTGTTTTTGAGAATTTTAAACAAGGAACGGCAAAAGCTCCCTCTGCAGTTGGAGAATCCCAGACACTAATGGAAAATGATATTGGTCTGAATCTGAAGCTTGAAGAAAAGAATCATGAGCTTTCGGGTGAGCTTGATGAGTCCAAAGCTGAGCGCGAAAGACTTGCAAAGAAAATGGTAGAGATGGAGTGCTATTATGAATCCCTTGTACAGGCGTTGGAGGAAAGCCAAAAGCAACTGCAAGAAGAGTTGCACAGACTTGGAAATGAGCACCGAACTTGCTTTTACACCATCTCTTCATATGAAACTCAAGTAGAAAGGATGCGTCAGGACTTGAATGATCAGATTATAAGGTTCACAAAAGATAGGCATGAGTTGGACTCACTTAATATTGAGCTTGAGAAAAGGGCTATAAACTCAGAAACAGCTTTAAGAAGTCTTAGATGGAATTACTCTATCGCAGTAGATCAGCTTCAAAAAGATCTTGAGCTACTTTCCTTACAGGTAGTATCTATGTTTGAGACAAATCAAAACCTCGCTAGACAAGCTTTTGAGGAAGCATCACAAGTTTGTCTGAAGGAGTATTTGGAAGAGCATTCAACGGAGGTAACTCCGTCATTGTTGAAGGATGACTCGGAAATTTCAGTCTTGAAAGAGAAGTGCAAGACAAGGATGAAAGGAGTTCCATCTGGGTTTCTTGTATCAGGAAGAAAAGCGCTTGACTTCACAGTGAATGTTACTGTACACAAAGAGGACTCTGTTGCGAAAGGTACAGGCAATGGAGACATTCATGGCTTTAATGGTGATCATAGTATCCTTGTAGGAGATCAAGAGCATGAAGGTTTGAAGGATGGAGAAGAACCTAGGCATGTTAGCAAGGATGCCCCAGAACCAGAAGCCGTCAATTCTCAGGAATATAATGCAGCTGAAATACTGAAGTATGGAAACGAGAACTTGAAACTTAAGAAACTTTTGTCTGAGCAAGAGGCCATTATTAAAGACATGAAAGCTTCACTATGTTATCAGGAGAAGCTCCATCAAGGTGCGGAGGACGAACTCTTGGAGTTGCATTTCCAGTGCTTGCATTTCAATATCTATGCAAATGTTTTGGAAGAAACCCTTCGTGAAACAAATGCTTTGATTATGCTCATGAAGGTGAAGCAGGAAGAGCTCACGGGACAGCTAAACCATTCTACTGAGATTAAGGAGAAATTAATGCTCAAGTTGCAAGGAGCTTTGGATGATGTGAAAGTCCTCCAGAAACATGAGGTAAGTTACACCAAAAAATGTGAAGAATTGGCCTTGAAAAACCATGTACTGGAAAGACAGTTTCAAGATCTTTCTGATGATAATCATCTCCTGTCTCAAAAGGTCAATGATTCTGAAAAAATGATAATTGACTTGACTGGTTACAAGAGCAAGTATGATTCGTGCAACAAAAAATTGATTGAGCTGGAATCCTTGATTGAAAAGGCTAACCAAGAGAGAACTAGCTTGCAGAATGAAATTGAGTTGTTAAGTGGAAACCTGAGAAGCATGAAATTACAATCAGATAAAAAGATAGGTGAATCTGAAAGATTAATCATGGAATTGACTGTTTACAAGAGCAAGTATGAGTCTTGCAACAAAAAATTGATGGATCTTGAATCCTTGTCTGGAAAGGAATACCAAGTAAAAACTAGCCTACATAGAGAAATCAACTTGCTAAATGAAAAGATGAGAAGCATGAATATCGAATCTGATAAACAGATAGCTGAACTGGAGAAAACAATTGCTTTTGCCCATAATAAATTGGAGAGTCTAATTGCTAACCCACTTTTCCATGATGAAAGAATCAATGGATCAGCACATATTGGCAAAGATGAACTGCATGGCATGGAACATGATGGACTAATGCAAACTATCTTGTATTTTGAAGTGCTTCAAAACAAAGCACATCAAACAATGATTCAGCTCCACCAGGAAAATGGCGCAGTCAAGGAACACGGTGATATTGCTCATGGGTCGTTAAAAGACATGGAGATACAGATTTCTTCTTTGAAAGACCGTTATGAATCTGATACTAAGAGTTTGATGGTTGAGTTGAGTACCTCCAAAGCGCAGATAGGAAGACTTGATAAAGAAATACAAGATGTCACTGGTAAACTCAGGATCAGCTCAGAAGCTAATGAAATGCTCATGCAGGAGAATGAAGCGTTGTCCTCAAAACTCTTCCAGATGGAAATTGAGTTGCAAAATACTATGGATGAAAATGATGTGCTTGCCCAAAAGAATGGGGATATTCAAAGTTCTAGCGAGGAACTTGAGCAAACTAAATCAGTTGTAAATGATTACATGGTAGAGAATACATCATTGAGGCATCTCCTCCACGTTTGCAATGTGGAATCTGCCCAGAAAGAAGAGGAGCTTAATTGTTTGAAAGAAAAGCTAAAATGCATTCATGATGAATTGGAAACTGTTCGGCAATCCGAGGAAAAGTTAGAGGCTGAAGTTGAAACGCTTACTTCTGAATTGAAAGAGTGTCATGAAAAATTGCTATCTTCCAGTTTGCAAGATGCGGAATTAATTCTGGTCAAGCAACAATTGCAAGTTCAGGAGTTTGAAAATTCAAAGCTCAGGGATTTGTCACTTCATTTGACCCAAAGCCAAAGTAAGGTGAACGAAGAGGCATCAAACCTCTGCCTCCAAGTTCATGACCTGGAATGTCATTTGGCTTCTGTTCTTGAAGCATGGTTAGCTGCTGATGTTGAAGTCAATTTTATGAAAAATCAGTTTGAAATCAGAATGGTAGAGCTCGTTGACAGCCTTAAATCTTTGGAAAAGTGTCAAGATGAGCTTTCTATGAAGCGTGATGATGCAGTTATTGCTCTAAAGGATTGTTTGGAAAGAGAAAATATGTGTGTACAAGACAAACAAAGTTTGATGGCAGAGCTCACTTCCCTGAGATCAGAGCTAGAACATGTTCGTACTGTGAAGAATGATCTTTTGGAACAAATCAATCTCCAGAAGGCACATTGGGTGAAGCTTGAGATTAGCGACAGTCCGAAGAAGCTCAAGCTTGAAGTAGAGAATGAACAGTTGAAAAGCACACTGGCGAGTTTTGAAGAAGAGTTGGACAATCTGAGGTCCTCAAAGGAGGAACTTGAACTTACAAGTCTAGTGCTTCAATCAAAGTTGGTGGAACAAAATTCCCAAGTAGCTCACCTGAGTGTTTATGGTGATGAGCTAATGAAATTGCGTAACCAGAACAGTGAGCTTTCTCTTAAGCTCTCAGATCAGGTTATGAAAACAGAAGAATTCAGAAACCTGTCAATTCATCTAAGAGAGCTCAAAGAAAAAGCAGATGCTGAATTGTCTCAAATTAATGAGAAGAAGAGGGAAGTGGAAGGGCCATCAGTTGCAATGCAAGAGTCATTACGTGTTGCTTTTATTAGAGAGCAATGTGAGACCAAAATACAGGAGCTGAAGGGTCAATTGTTTGTGTCCAAGAAACATGGGGAGGAGTTGTTACTGAAGCTGCAAAATGCAGTCGAAGAACTGGAGAGTAGAAAGAAGAGTGAGGCATCTCATGTGAGGAGAAATGAGGAGTTATCAGTGAAGGTTTTAGAATTGGAGGCTGAGCTTCAGAATGTAATTAGCAGCATGAGAGAAAAGACCAGTGACTACGACAGAATGAAGGCTGAATTAGAATGTACCATGTTGAGTCTTGATTGTTGTAGAGAAGAAAAGCAAAAGGTTGAAGGTTCTTTAGAAGAATGCAATAAGGAGAAGATCAATGCCGTAATGGAACTCGACACTATGAAGGAGCAGCAGAGAAGCCTTCAATTGACCTCAAAACCTGTGGAACAAGACAGTCAGGAGCCCGGTGTCCTCCAATTGAGGTTGGACAAGGAATTTTCTTGGAGATTTTCGGATATCGGGATTAATAATGTTTTGAGAGGTGATAACTCCCTTCAGGAAGGTAGAATCAGATCAGTTCATCTAAATGAAGACAAGGAGGAGGAAGGTCCAAAGTTATTTGATAGATCTCTTTCCTGGAGCCCCTCATGCAGGCCAAAGGCCACCGAAAATTTAGTTCTCAGTGCTGACATGCAAATAGAGGTGAGGACTTTGTGGATACCTGAAATTAGAGATTCAAATTTAATACTTTCTATACTGAAAACGTGATAGGTGATTGCTGTAACATTTTCTTCTCTGGTTCTATGAAAGGATGTATTGATTATTGACTGAACACACAAGGCTCTGTTTTTTTTCCCCTGGTTTTCCAAAAATTTAAAGAGTTTGTTGTGATTTTTTCAATAGAATGAGACTGTATCTGAAAGAGGGTTGCTTGAAACTTCACAACAAATTCTCGTGGAAAAGGATGGGCAGCTGCAGAGTGACATGAAGCTTTTAGCGAGTATCAGTGGTCGTTTCAGGGAGGACTGTTTAAGTTCTAGCATGGATCGCCTTAATAAAGAGGTAGATATGTTTTATTTTTTACTTTCTTCTTATAATTAAGAGTTATATACTGCTTTTCTCCAATACTTCTTGTTCTAGAGTATTTTGAGAAGTACTTACATTTCAAGGTCCACAAGCCTAACAGAATCTTTCTTTCAACCCATCCTTGTTAATGAACATTTGCATCACAAGATTTTGCCCTTTTTTCTTACTGTAAAGGACCTCCACCTCACCTCAGTTTGCCTCTTGTGTAATTCTAGCTGGAAAAGATGAAAAATGAGAACTTGGATAATTCTCCAGAAAGTGATTATCTTCATGAACCAAGTTTTGAAGCCTTACTTCAAAGAGAAACGCTGCAACTCCATATGGTGAGTGAAACTTCATTATGGAACTTAATTTCATGATGCAGCTTCTGGTATATAGTAAAATAATCATGTTATTAAACATTTTATTGCAGGCGAATAAACAGCTGGGAAACATATTTCCTCGGTATAATGAATATCCGAGGGGTGGAAATGCACTGGAAAGGGTACTTGCATTAGAAGTTGAGCTTGCAGAAGCATTGCAGAAAAAGAAATCCAAGATGTTTCAAAGGTGGATCACCTTTTGAGATATATTGATAAATTCTAAGGGTACAATGAGCACAGTTAATTTTTGGATGGAAATTTGACACCCTTCCAAGTTGTCTGATGTGATAAGTGACGGCTGGGGTCTGTTGCTTCTCCCAACAAAGTCTGCCAATTTTTTGACAGACTTGGAGAACCAGTACACTCCAGCCATCCAATTTCACAACTGATGGATTTTTTTTTCCTTGTGTATGTGTGAATGTGTGTGTGGGTTTTGTTCGTTTCTTTTTTATTGTGGGGGCTTGAGGGGGGTGGGGGTATGAATTCTCCATCCAAACTTTTACTCAGCATTTGTATACATTTCCAATGCAAAAATCATTTTTTTTATTCTAAGGGTTTGTCTACAGAGAGACCATTTATCTTTTGTACATAGAGGTCATAATCATTCCCACTCATTAGATGTCAAATTGGATGGTTTGGGGTGAGTCACGATGTCCGAGTTTTTTGGGGAACTTTGTGTCTATGCAATGACACTTTTACAACCACCCATTTTAAAATTTAAGGGTCAAGAATGATTGTGACCTCCATATACAAAAAATAAATAGTCTCTTTATAGACAATTCCTTGTATAAATATATTAACTGTCTCATTTTCTTTTGTCAAATGGCACAATTGAGGAATCTGACAATTTAGATGCATATTCTTTGCAGCACCTACCCTAAGTTTTTATTTTCTTAGAAGAGACCAATACCATATGCATTACAGTATTCTGCCTTCTTGATTTTACCATTCGAAATGAGGAAATAAACAATATATTTCCTTCACTACTTGTTAGAATTTCTTTTGCTTACATCTATTGGCTCATGATGAAAAATATCAATAACCAGAATTTGGGAATGACTGATGCTCACTGATTGCCTAGAGAACTGCTTGGTAGACATGCAACTGTTGGTATATATCAAGATTATAGGTGATATAGCTTCGTTTCCAGTCCTGATGTTTTTCTCTTTCCACTCTCTCTCTCTCTCTCTCTCTCTCTCTCTCTCTGTTCTTTGTTCCAGTTCATTCCTGAAACAGCACAATGATGAGGAAGCAGTGTTCCAGAGCTTCAGGGACATCAATGAATTGATCAAAGATATGCTGGAATTGAAGAGAAGGCACACGGATGTTGAGAGAGAATTGAAGGAAATGCATGATCGCTACTCCCAACTTAGTCTCCAGTTTGCCGAGGTGGAGGGAGAGAGGCAGAAACTGGTTATGACCATTAAGAATAGAAGAGCAAGCAAAAGGACGTAATCCTAATCGATGCCATCTAAACGGCCTTCAAAAATGGGGACTCATGGCCAACCTCCATTTTGGAACAGTACTAAACTGGCCCAAATACAGTTAAGGCATTATATGGATGCTAAGAAGTCTGCACAGGCCTCTCTCTCTCTCTCTCTCTCTCCCTCTCTCAAAAGAAATGAAGTACATCAGTGGATCACAAGCCCCAATAGGCCCGTGGAATATCTGTAAATAAGGGGGCCATGAGGTTTGTTCCAGTCCCTAAACATAGAGATATGCAGTACCGTGTAAATAATGAAACAAAATGTTGTTTCTTCAAAGATGGCTTAAAACTGCAATGTGCGTTTTGTTTTAAGGACTTCTCTTGCTCTGTATAGCCAACATTCAGGATTTTTGCTTTAATCTATTTGGACTTTGAAGGACTTATCTGCAATGTATGCGGGCGCAATGTATGTGGGAGCAATTGAGTTACAAGTTCAGCAAAAAAAGCATTCCCTTTTATAGTTTTGACGATAAAATTCGTGCTTCCATATTATATGGAAATATGATTACCATTTATCCTCTTGGCTTGCGGTTCTCTCTCTCTCTCGTTTTTGCCTTTCTAGAAACTTTATTATTATTTGTGTTTATTTTTTTTTTATGAATAACAAGATAAAAAGGGATAGAATTTGAAATAAGTATATTTGAGAAAATTTAAGTGTAAAATTAATGCAACACCTATTAGAAAGATAAGAAAGGATAAAATTCAAAATAAATACATTTGAAAAAATTTAAGTGTAAAATTAATACAACACCTATTAAAAAGAGCGAGTTAATATCAAATTAAAAGCTATAAAAAAACATACTTAAAAATAATGAGAAAAAATATAAAAACTTTGACCTCACTGAAGATATGGCTCTTAATAGGGTACAATGACACCAAAATTCATAAAGCTATCCTCAATTATTTAGAAAAAGATTTTGACTCAATTATTAAAAGGTGAAAAACAACTTGGTCTCTTGTCACTGAAAACCCTAAATCTATAGAAAAATATTAACTTTGAATCTATATCAAATTTCTCTTTCCCGATTGGTAAGAGAAAATAAACCAAAGGCCATGGCTAACTGCCCCTTCCAGTATTATTACAAGGTGAAAAACAACTTATATTCGTGGTGTATAGTAACAGAATGGGGCAATCACAATCCATTTTGAATGATGGACAATCGAGATCGAGGGCACGTTTGGTATGCCTGAAAATACTCTTGTGAAAGTATTTTCACATTTAAAAAAATCTCCCCATGTGATTAGGTGTTGGAATTTTTTCACCCCAAGCGGCTATCAATTGGCGTAAAAAATCTCCCCGCATCTAGGCACATGGAGTTCTTAATGTGAAAATAATTTCACAAAAATATTTTCACATACCCAGGTGCATATCAGTGGTTTGGAACTATGCCTAACCTCCCCCCTCCTCCATCATTGAAAACTGAAATTTTCATTCATGGTTCCAGTGAATGACAACCTCATGTCCAAAACAAAATATTAACCATCCTAAGCCTCTAAAGAACATTGCCCCAACTGGCCTGACCAAAGAATTAAAATACAAGTAGACAGGTATATTGACATAGAACCCATGAACTTCCATACTGCTTTCCATGATATCTGATGACAAGAAATCATAGCAAATAGAGTGTCTTTGAAACCAAACAACAAGAAAGAGAAAAATGATTCTCCCAAACAGAAAAAATAACCAAAAAAAAGAGCTCAAGCCACCAACCATGAAACCAGATGTGCCCTGCCCCTAAGTTTTGCTTGCAACCCAGTCTGCAATTTTCTATGATGATCCAATCACTTCCTTTCTCTCACTACAAATTCAAACCCCAAATTTACATCACCTTCCCTTTGTGAATGACCTCCACAGAAAGAAATTATAGTTTCAGAGATCTAGGTCACAACAATTCCAGCACTTGCTTCTCTGAGAAGATACAGTAAAAGAAGAAACCATTGAATATACTGAATACACAAACAGAACAAGAGATGTCCACGACCCAGTTAGCTTTGGATCCGCAGCCAATTCTCAGTTCACGAACAGTACTGAAATTGATCAGAGTGCTCTCTGATATCACAGAATCGAGCATGAACATCTATTCTTCTTGGGCAAATCTGATTGCTGATTCTCTATTGCAAGAAATGAAAGGAATTCAGCAAACATAAAAAGAAACTGAAAACATCAATAAAGCACAAACACAAAAGTTATATTTTAATGATGACCATGTATCTCGCCCAAAATGCAGGACATTCTTCCAATTTATAAGTGTGTCTACTGTAAAAGTTGTGCCTATTATAATCAGATGTATGCTTTATTTCTGGTTTCCCACATTTTTGCAGAGGGATTAGACAACATCTCTGCTATATTCGTATTTGCTAAGAACCAGAAAAAGGAAAGGATAACTAGCTTAGCGATTCTTTCACTCTTTCCACTTCCTGCTTTTCCTTTTCTCTCTGCATGACTTGTTCGATCTATTCAATCCACCCAAGATGAAGAGGAGCACACCAAGATATCTATGTACTTCCAAGCTGCTTTGAAGCACATTGATAGAAACAAAGAAAGGAGCCATATACATGATCAAAATACCAAAATAACTCCATCACGATGCACAAAGAAAAGATAAACAAAATTACTAAACTAACTATAAACATGGTACATTCTCTCGATACCAATTCACCCATCAACATCACACAGAAATTCGGGGCGCCAAGTCAGGGAAATATTATCTACGAAAAAAGTATCCCATATTAGGGCACTCCCATTTGCAAGGAGGCCTTCAGTCTATGGCAGAAGCAAAATAATTCCACAAACCCCATTTCTCTAACAAAGAGTAAATATCCACGAGTTTCTTGCAATCCTGAGAAAATAAATCATGGGGATCGTTTGAGTTCACACAAGGTTTCTTGGACCAACCAAACATGAGATGAACACATGACCTCATAATCAAAATGGCTAATTCAGGAAGTTCTTCCCTTCCATGTGAAACACCTGATACTTTGATATCAATTACTTTTGTATTATTGCAACAAATGCAATACTGGTTTTGTTCTCTTTTTACTTTTTTTCTTTTTCCTTCTTTTAGTCAATATGTAGTAGCATACTCAAACATATTCCCGATTGAGCCTCATACCTCAATAGTGACTCCATCCTTTTGTAAATGCATTTACACCAAAGGGATCCTCATTTGGAGGTACAAGCCAAGTCTCAAAGTTAGAATACTTTAAATATTTGCAATGTTTTAATAGCATGCCACCAACACAGATGGTAGGACACAAGCATTAAAGAAAAATACATTCAAGATATAGTAGGAAACTTATATCAAGTAAAGGGATATTATAGACACAATTTGTGGATATCACAATCTTCAACTTCCTCAGATGTGGAAAGCCTTCATTTTTGGAGTTTCCAAATATGCAGGTTTACAAATTTCTTGACATCTAGAAATTTTTCAATCGCATCTCCAATTGCTCATGTCCACCCCGTATTGAAGGACCTACAGACTCCATCCCAAATTCTCCTCTCTAATTAACAATTTCACATAACAGGTAATGCCTACAAGTACAGGCAATCCATCTCTTTCGAATAGTAAGAACAATACAACTGCTCCCAAAGCTTAACCCATTTACTCCCCCAAATGTATATCCCCCTCCTATGGTAGTGCCATCCAACTAGATATGCCATCGGAAACTCTTTGGAATGTGAAATTACAACTCCCTCCTTCCTCTATACTCCAATTTACATTTTCCATAGAACACTTGGATCAAAAAAGGGCAGCCTGCTTAAAATTTCAAGGGACAATTGACTCTTTCGCTTATACTTCAATCCAAATTTCACTCACTATAAGAACTCTTTAATAGCCAACCTTCTCACTTATTTGATTATTCCCCTTCCTTACCTTGTAAACACCATTAACACCAACTTGCCAGTAGAAAGGAACCAACACCATCCTCAGTACCAGCCAGCTTCTTGACCGAACCTTGAATTCTTGGTTGTCATACCTTGGACCAAGGATTAAAAAAACGGATCAGTGAACTCGATCGGCCACTCCAAAAACTGGGTCGGATCAGTGGATGGACGATCCAGATCGGAGAATCGGCTGGATCGGCTGGTTTCGGCCTAAAAGTTTTTCAAAAAATCCCTTAAAATAGTGTTTTTTGAGTTTCCAAAAAAATTGGGGCTGATGCATTTCAAACTTTCATTATTTTACAAAAATAATTGAATATTGAGACGTCGTTTTCATGTCTAAATGTATGTTGACCATTGAATATTTTAGGGTTCTTTTTTCCTTTGCATTGTCTTAATTTCCTTTGAATGTTAAAAAAACCCAAAAAGAAAAAAGGAGATGGATGTTGCGTTTGTCTTAATTTCCTTTGTTGGCAAAGTTTCTTTACACAATAGAAGCAAATTTATGTAGCTTTGAAATTAGCTACATGGTATAAAATCAAAGCTATATGGTGTAAATAACTAAGCCATGGTTTAAAATAATTAGAAATTAGCTAATTTAGAATGATGTTGTAAATTAACTATGTTTAAACTATGGCGTGAAGAAAAATAACTAAGTTTATACTATGTAAATAAACTATATAAATAAAGTAGCTTTAAATATTAACTATGTAAAAAAAGTAAGGACGCGGTTAGCATGCGGCCAGCCCGCATATTGTAGAATATGATCCTAATTTTAGAATATATTTTTTAAATATAATTTGATCCTAATTTTTAGAGAATATATATTCTTTAACATGGAGATCATGAATATGAAAAAATAAATAAATTTTGAAAACTAGAAATAATAATTATATTAAAAAAACATTTGGACTGCTAGACACAATTGTTTTTAGATGGACCACCTATTTGCATCCATCTTTAAGATGGATGCTTTATACTTCTGGACCGCACATTGTAGAAATGTGATCCAGCCCGCATGAAACAATTCTTCAGAAAGTAATCAACTATGTAAATGGCTACAGGCACTGTAAATGTCTCATATGTAAAATTGCTCCCAAAGATTTGTAAAAGGTCTTGTATGTAAAATTGCTCTCAAAGTTTTGTCATAAGTTGAATTGTTGTCGTGAAGAAATGGGAGAATTTGTCCCACATCAAAGATTAGGAGTGACAGCTTCCATAAAAGTGTCATGCACAATGACAAGGCAGTATGCTGACTTTCACACCCGCTTGATGATGTGTGTGTGTTAAAGTGGTTGAGGCCAATTAAAATGGCAGCCTTTTTTACAATAAAAATTATAGGGGTGGGCCACCGCCCCTCTACCAAAAAAATTTTAAAATATGGGGGCGGGCCACAGGATTTCAAAAAAAAATTAGAACTCACTAAAGTCTCCCTTGTTTAAACCGGTTGAGGGTAGAACCCGCCGGTTCTACTCTGACAGATTCGGCCGGTTTTTGCCATAACTGACCAGGTTTATCAGTGAACTGGCTGGTTCAAGGGGGAACACGGCCGGTTTCCAATATATTACAAGTATCGGACCAGCTTTAACAATTTCCAATCCAGATCGGCGATTTTTAAAACCTTGCCTTGGACAAATGAGACCACGCATCCTCTCCCGTCTCCCTTGACACTTTATGGTCCTTCATCCTCTATAATCCACATTTTTCTCCTGGCAAATCTTCCAGCTACCTCTTTGTGGCATCATGGTTAGCGGCATCATGGTCACATCTACTTTTCCATTCTAGAGAAGCATGTTGTGGTCATTGCAGCTGCACTATTCTACTTTTGCAAATCATAAAAGAACTTATTTTCTCTGTTCTTTCATTCCAAAGCGAGCTCCTTCGGCCTCAAGTGATTTTCAATCTTTGATGGAATGGATGTACCCCACCCCAGCTGCAAATGTTTTATATTTGGATCTGATATAAGGGGAATCAATATTATAAACCCAAGCCCCATTATTGAAACAAAATGGTCAAGACATCCACCAAGAAAATGACAATAGTTACATTTCCTGTCTGAGCATTCACCTTCCTTTTTTTGGAGGATAACTAAAGTCCCAGACGTCCACCAAGAAAAGGAGAAGATCTACACATTCTTTCTGTGCATTCACCCTCCTTATGGGTGGATAACTAACTGCACTAACAAATGTTAGCAAGAAGAGGGACGGAAAATGAATAAGTTTTTCCAACAGTAAATAAAAATCTTCGAATTAGTTCCCCATTTATCAGAAAAGAACACCAGAGTAGACCTGAAATATGTTACAACATCAAGTACTTGCTCCGCATAGAAGATCGATGCAAGTTTTGCAATCTGTGTTAAATTTTGATGATAGCGTGCAGTGATGCAAATAACCCAGTAGACTAAACAAATTTTGTAAGAACCATTGTATTTGATCTTTGACTATCAAAGAATTTATTCAACTATATGGTTAAGCTGGTTAAATAACTGCAGTTATTTCATCATTCATCAGAAATCTGGGACTGACTAAGAGTGTTAGACATCATGGGTAAATAAAAATTCAAGATACAAGTCTCAGGCAAGTTATCATTAGTTATAGTTGCTTATCTTTACTTCAACAGGAACTATCTACCGCTAGAGTTTGCAATCTAGTTAAGGCATATAGGTACTTCAGACATCACTAAGAGATTAAGATGCACAGACCTTGTCTCTATGGAAATATTACACATCCCCCAAACCAAGATCCCGCTGACATCTAATGTACTTCCTATGTAAGGGACAGTGAGCACGGGCACTTCTATGATATGCCAGCCATCTGTAGTTATTGTACCAAATCAACTGCACAATGGATAATGATTTATTCATGGGATTGTCAACAAAGATACCATTAATCTTTTGCGCATGGAGGTCACAATCATTCTTATCCCTTAAATTTTAAAATGAGTGATTGTAAGAGTGTCATTGATATAGACATCAAGTTCCAAAAAAAAAATTATCGGACTTCGTGACTCACCCAAGCCATCCAATTTGACATCTAATGAATGGGCATGATTGTGACCTCCATGTACAAAAGAGTTTCTTTGTAAAGTAATTAACCTATAATAGCTAAGGCAATCAAAGATAGAATATCTACATTGCCATCTAGATTTTGAGTTCTCCAGGTTTCACGAAAGTAATCATGCAGATCTCTTCATGGTTACTGGTTGGTTCAATAATTGACACAAGGCTACCATATCAATTTCCAAATTCTGCTTCACTAAAGGCGCTGGCATTTCAATGTTTTATCAATGAGATATAAATAAGGCAGGAAAAGAGATCTCCAAGTTTATTTTCTCATGCAAAACCCGAATGTATATAAGCGCAAATAGAGAACCATGAAATACATACACCAAAAACATGACAAACACAAGACAAAATCAGAAGTAATTTAAAACCCATGACATCTTTTGTGCTTTTTGACATCTTTTGTGCTTTTTTGGATATACCATTGTTCTTATCCAGTGCTGGAGCCCGTACATGGACAAGCATAGTGATGACTCCACTAGGAAGCTCTCCGACTGGTACCCTGGACTCTGCAAGGGTTTTGTTGTTCTCCAATATCTTCCCCGCATTTATGAGCTTCACATCATTGATTGTTTTTGGAGCATTTTCTTTGCCTATCAAGACATAACTATTAACATGCAATATATTCATCATTCATAATATTCAGAAAACCAATAAATCATACATGAGCTAGTGGGACATGCATTGCATCATTCATAATATTCAGAAAACCAATAAATCATACATGAGCTAGTGGGACATGCATTGCATCATTCATAATATTCAGAAAACCAATAAATCATACATGAGCTAGGGGACATGCATCGCATCAACATAAAATGTGATGATAAATCTTGAGAAGAAAGATGCACATTTAACATTGGCCAAATCTTTTTTGATGACAAGAAACCCAACAAGGATTTGATTGGCACCAATGTAAATAAATGGAAGCAGTGCCTATAAACAGAGTGGACAAGACTGTTTTGACTGGGAAAAGGCCAACAGAGGTCATAAAGCCAGACTTGCACCACTATGGGAAGAAAATCCCACGATGGACCAAACCAATTTAACCTGGCAATTTACAATAAGCAAATTTTAGCCTGCTAAATCATAGAGATTGCACAATAAACAATAACTGAAATAAATTTGCAAATTTAAAGAAAAATAAACATTTTCTACATGTTAAGACATGTGAAGGCTATCCCGTCAGCCAAATAAGGCACTTTATATCAATACTGCCCAATAGTATCTCATAACTGAGGAAACCATCATCATCATCATCGTCAGAGCCTTTTCCAAACTAATTGGGGTCAGCTACACGAATCTTGGTCTGTCATTCTGCTCTATTAAAGGTCATACTCTCGGTGAGGCCATAAATCCCCATGTCTTTTCTCACTACTTCCAGCCATGTCCTTTTGGGCCTACTCCTTGCGCTATTTGAGCCTTCCACTTGAACTAATTCACACCTCCTAACAAGTGTTGTATTGGGTCTGCGCCACACATGGACCGCCCACCTAAATCTACTTTCTCTCATCTTATAAGAAAAAATTACAAGAAAAACATACACATGAAACCTTTGAAACGAAAAACCCGTGATACAATTAAAAGAGATCAAATGGCTAATGAGTGAGTGAAATATTAACACTACAGCAGAGTTGCCAGTGAAAGAAGCACAAACCAACCTACAAAATGTGATGCTCATAGTTGCATGTCCTAGACCATGGGTCTAGGTTTTTCCCAGCACAACATGAACAATAGAAGGCAACCCACCACAAACATTTCGGTGGCCTTTCCCATTCCGACTTCCTCCACAGTTGGAACCCCATTCTCAGATTCAACCCTCAGAGGCCCCCTCGATACTCCCATTGGAGACCACTCGATGATGGGAAAAATGGTGATGTATAAAAAAATAAAAAAAAATTGTCCTCTCTAGGTTCCTTATATACGGCACCTGCCTGTGGGTAGCCTAGTTTTTGGGCAGAACCCATGTGTGGGTATCCAGACCACCTCATTTTCCTTTTATTTCTTTTAGTTAATATAGAGTTAACATATTCAATATAGAGCTAACATATTCAATAAATAAATAAATAAATGAACAATAGAATACAAAAATCGATCAAACAGATAAAAAATCCTCACTACAATACACAAACTTTATTCTTTTCCACAAAAATAACAAACGACCAAGGACATTGAATTTAATAGAAATGCCAGAGAATCAATTTAAATTGGGAAGCCATTATCTGAACATTAAACAACAGGACCCTGATCAATGCATTTCAATAACAATGTGCAGCAGGAACAATGAGACCAATCCGATAGAACCAAACATTTCATGTACAAATGAAATGTCAAGCAATATACAATTACACATGCTTGTTTGCGAATGATGACTATGATCCTCACATGTTTCTCTTGCATAAAAAATAAGAGACACACATTAATATAGCAATCTAACCTGAGAGGACCTCAAATGTGAAAACTGCGGTAACAGGAAAGCAGAAAAAAGCCATGCAAGCAAACTAGAACAAAAATTTCAGACATAATATTTGGGCTCTAAATTCCGATATTAAAATAAAATGGCCATGATTATGCCACTGATCAAGATCATTAAATTGAAAGTTCGAAACTGTACAATAACAAATAGTTATCCAGTCAATGTTCTGATTGCTACAAACCCCAAGATACAAAACTAGTAAAAGTGTCTCAGACCCTGTATCTTCCCACCCCCCCAACACAAACACACACACACACACACAGAAAATCAGCATCCAATTGTTAGTTTCAACTATCGACCGCATTTGTTGAAAAAAAAAACCCCACACAATAGAAAGCCATTAAGCATCCGAAAAAAACAAGGTCAATCATGAATCCAAATGCTACGAAACTACAGATTACAGGGGGATAAGCCCATGAATGAACCCATTCGTACCCAAAATTTGAACCCCGCAATTCACAAACAAATCAAACAAAAATTCAGATACATAATCCCAATCTTCACATCCCAGGAATTGATTCTAAACAAATTGAACAAAAATTCAGGACACAAAGACTAAAGAATCAAGACTCGCGATCTAACCTTGCGGCCATCGAGCCACAATAATTTCCTTGAGTGAACCAATTGTGGTAGCAGGGGGATACTTGTTGGGTCCAATATCTGTTCCATCATAAAGCCTAAATTTGAGCTCAAGCAATTCTTCCCCTGCCATTACAGATCTTCACTAGCAAAACCCACAAAAATTCAGATCAAATCTCATGGTTCTATACCATATAGAGCCCAAATTACCACCATTTTCGTCTGAGATTCTCTGTATCAACCCATTTCTTGAAGCTTTTCCAGTCAGAGAAAGAACCCAATTTGCAAAACCAGGCAAAAATAGGAAGAATCTGAGGAATGGGTTAGTGAGAGAATCAAACGCTTGTTCTCGAAGGCGGCCTCAGGCCCCTTTTCTCCAAAGCAACGTGAGAGCCACGCCCTTTTATGTGTGCAGTGCTGGCCTTAACACCTACAAAGAATATAACGAATCCCTCTCTCTCTACGAGGATTGAAGGTAAGTGCGTTTTAGAGAGAGAAAGTCCCCACTACAGTATCTATTTTAGGGAAATTCGAAGGACGCGTGATTTTCTCGCATTGGCAGTCTTTTATTTTCCATTTTCTACTCTCTTCATTCCCGGCCTTTTGTCAGAACTGACTAACGAAAACTCCACCCCAGCATGCAAACTCCCCCCTCTCTCTCTCTACTCTCTTGTTCCCTCTCTTTCTCTCTCCTCTCTCTCTCTACTCTCTTCGTTCCACTCTTCTCTCTCTCTCTCTCT